GAGGAAAGCGTTCAAGGATCTTGCCACGACTTGTGATGCTCCAGGCCAAGTGACCTAACCAACGATCGGAAGCTCTTGACCTGACTTGAGGTAGCCTGCATGCAGAATAAGACAGATGTAAGAGTAGATAGCCAAGACTAGGCAGATTTAATGTAGAAGAGTCAGTTTGGGAGAAATCATTTACCATTCGCTTGGATTTGCTTATCTAGAAGGCTGAGGGAGGCTAGTATAATCGAGGTAGCATATCCCATCGTGACCATGCTTGCCGCCCGCTTGGAATCGAAGATCTGAGTCTCAACTATTCGTGCTATAGATCCAGTCCTACTCAGTCATATATGCTTGTAAGATAAGCATACCACTAGAACTTACACATTGAGGTTCCACAGTCGTTTAGCTCGGAGACTTCCTACCTCTCATCATGTTACACACAGCCTACAGCCTAGGTACCGTACCCGAAGCAAATATAGCCACCAAGACCAGATAACCAACAAACGATGAAACCATCACCCATTACAAAGCCTTTTTTCACAAAACCGTGGTGAGGGGGGAACGGGAGAAGCGGGTGCTACCGTTCCGTACAGGACCCAGCCGCCGCGCCCAGCCTACGAAGCACCATAAAATCCAACATAGTCGAAACGTTCACCAAGGGAAAACACTGGTGCAACAAACGGCCAGGATACCCGTGCCATCCCGCTGGCTCCGAATATTCCCCCGCGGACGTGTCAGTACCTGTTCTCCGACTCCCTTCCTTGAGGTAGCAAAGAGCCGCACACAGGATGCCACTCACTCACAAAACCTCAGTCATCACAATGTGCGAAGCATGTTGGAGATCTTTTTTTTTTATCAACGATGAAGCCACGAGTGGCTCATCAACACCAAATTTCATATTTTTATCCTAGCTCGGGGGTATTCCTGAAAGATAACAATAGGAGCTCGCGCTCCTGTGCCCATGTATCATTAAATGAAAATCACAAAAAAGAATATCTCGCAAAAGTTTGTTCCGGCCGTAGAACGCCTTGCTCGGTGACCGTGGCTTTTTTTGGTGTACGCAGCCCAAATCAAAGATCCAAGTAATTACTCCGTCGCTCGTAACCGGTGAAAGTAGCACTTCAGAGGCAACTGGTTATACCTAGCTCGAGGTCTTGCCTGCCATGCTCGCCTTCGTCTAATTTTGATTTCATAACATGTTGGTAATTGTATTCGTGGAGATGTCGGAGGGGAATGGAGTGCTGTGTTGGGCTCAGATTCGGCAGCACGCCCATAGGTGTCCCCGACTAAATCGTTCATCCCACAAAGTTCAGCCCGTCGAGTCGACAATGATGACTCTCTAGATCGGATCTACGGATCTAGTTCTCTGCAGCAACGTTTTGTGAAACCGCAGTGCTGAAACTGAACGCCATCGAGCCTTACGAGGAACGGGGGTCTCAGGCATATCGAATCCTCCATCCCCTCCCTCCGCTACAGCGTCGAGACTCAAAGGGTTGAGACAGCCGCACGAGGGAATGTGGCGTACAAAGGGGGGAGGAGAGGAGGCGTTCAACCGATTTCTTTTTAGGGTATCCCACTCAGCGATAGATCTAGCGATTGGGTGATGTGTGGCGTTCCTTAGTCGTCATCCAAGCTTCGCCCGCCGCATCACCCGCTCGGTTCAGTCTGAGCGTGGTCGGGGTCCACCTTGGCCAGACGATGTGCCTCGGCTGTGTGGTTTCGATAGTGTAGTGCGCTTGATTTGTAACCCCTCTTTCAGGTGTCCTTTGGCCATGATCCAATCTTCGCGATCGTTGTCGGCAGGGTGGGATCCTCGTCGCAATTCGTGCCGTCCCATATCTTTGTGCTAAATTCTTGTGTAGCCCACGGGGCTTGGATGTTTGGCAATGCCAGTGATTTCTGAGCCGCCGAGAGACCCTTGATCGATGAATCGTCCTCAAAGTTGGTGATATCGAAAGAGTCGTCGAGGGTAAGCTGACTCGCCTGGCTCGTACTCGGTTGGTGGCCTTGATTGGGAGGGACCCTTTCGATTTCGACGACTACCTCCCGCGTTCTGTAAATCGCCATCTTGGGCTGTCCATCTGCATCGGTAGCGTTCGCGGCACCTATCGAAGGTCTCCTACTGCTTGGGCCGGAGCTGACGGCAGCGACGTTAACGCCTCGCAGTGCGGGTATCTTTGGCTTCGCAACGTTGTTGAGTTCGATGGGATTCGGAGGCTGGCTGCTGATCGTAGCATCGATGCCACCAACGGGGCGACCTCTCGCGTAAGTGGGTAACTGCAAGCTGTACTCGGATGGCTGGTACGAGTCTCGGTTGTTGCCGTTGAAGTCGGCAGCAGAGAGAATGCCGAGATCGCGTTTCCGAGCAACCTTTCCAATCAGCTCGGCCATCGACATCTCGATCTTGAGCTTGACCATGTATGCCAAAGGGTGGAATTGCATATAACTATAGAGCAACGTTAGTACGCGGTACACACTTACCCAAAATCCATCGCCATGTCCACAATGAGAATTTGAGTTTCGCGCAAGACCACCTACACAAATGTGTTGTTGAGACTCATCATCGCAATGATGAGCACGTCCATGCTCAAAGAAAACCCAATGATGAACATGTTGAACTGCGTCAGTCGCTTGTACTTCGTCAGGCCGTGGGTGACCAAGTTCTTCTGTACGATGCGGACGAAGTAAATGTTGAGCGCGCCATCGACGATCAGGTAAATGACCTTTTCGCAGCGATCCCACCACTCGTTGATTTCGATATATCGTTCTGATACCTGTAACCGAGCCGGCACCCAAATGTTGTAGACGGAAATATTGATGGCGGTAATCAGTACGGCGACGCCCACTTTAAGTCGCCATGCCCGCTTCTGGTTGGTAAGAAGAATGGCGCATCGATTAATGATAATTTGGAGAAGAAATTGAACCTGGAGAGCCCAAGTGGTCACTGTGGTGGTCAGTGGATGGCCCAGCAGACAAGGTCGTACAAAGTAACTTACAGATGCAAAAGTAGAATGCGAAGCTGAACATGTCGGCAGTAAGTATCAAATCGACAACATCTTGAAGTAGTACTGATGACTTACCTTGGCGGTATGATGCCCTTGAGATGCAGCCAACATATAATGCTGAAGATGGTACACACGAGGATCTCTAGCCAAATCATCCAGATGTAAGAGTTCCGGTAGATACGATCGCCTTGCCGCCTGTACATGGCGGTGGTCTGCTTGATCGCCGTCCATACTGTGAGCCAGCCGAAGCCGAGAGTGAAGCCCCAGGCCAGAGATGCAATGACCATGTCATCTTCGGAGACCTCTTCGAGCTTGAAGTGTGGGGAGAGGAGGGTCATCATGATTGACCAGCCTGAACATCATAGCAGCGAGGCTGAGACATTAACAGATATTATTCCGTATTTTGCTTCATGATCGGAGAAGGTGGATGTTAGTGGATAGTTGAGATGAGAAGGGAAAAGAACTGACAAAAGGGATTAAACAACAGAACTTACCGATAGCATGGTCAACAAAGAGTGGTTCCACGACGTCATGCACGATTGGAAGTGAAAATTCGGAAAATGTCTAGCAGGGTCCCGATCTGACTGTTCGAAAAGTTGGGCTCGTTCGTGGCCGGTTCAAGAACGGAGAGCGGACGAGCACAGGAAGGGGGCTGAGAGTTAGAATGCGCAGAGGGCTGGTGTTTTTGAGGCGAGCACTTTAGGCTAGCAGCAAACACTCAGAGTAGCGTTGCGATCGGACCCAAGACGTCGTGTTTCATGGGCGAGTCAGGGAACGGTACACGCACAACGGTACGGATGGCGTCGCCTTCAACGAGCCAACACACAACTAGCACTAGAACGTTTTTTCACTGCAGCATGGAAGAAAACCAGCCTTCTTCCGCAGGTAACCCACGCTGGAAGTAAACGGCGGCTTCATCCTTCCAAGGCGAAGCCCAGTCGGGGTAAGCGTTAACGCCAGAGAAGAAACCATGCAGCCCCGGCCATTCCGATGGGAGATGAGGATCAGAAGTAACGTTCGCTAGTGGGTGCTGTTTCCCCCCCCAATCGCGAAAACGCAAAGCATGTGAGCAAAATGGTCATCCTTCAAAGGGCAATTCCAGTCCCCCAGTCTCCTGCTGGAAGAAGATGGCCCTTGCTGGCTGACAACGTGGAGGGAGCAGCCAAAACTCTGCTGATGGTGCCAGTGGAGAGCGAAGCCAAATATTGAACGACATGGAATGCGAGAGCGGCAGAAGATCGGCCATGGAAGCGGTGAGGGACATGTCTGCAGCTGCTTAAGGCGTCGATCCCTGGCAAGGTGCCATTGGGACATGACTTGGTCGTCGGCATTAGGGCGGGCGACTTAACCCCAAAAGAGACTTTCGTGGCTGCGAAGCTGAGGGATGAGAGGCCCAACGAAGGGAGGGAGTGGGCAGAAAGAAGAAAGCTTGGCATCTGATCTTCGCTGCGAATTCTGCGCTTGGGGACTGTCTTCTCGTCAGCGTAGAAACGTACATGGACGAATCGAACACGAGATGCTACTGTTGGCTCCGGGATCACCCAAGCCGGCCTTTTCTTCTATTTCAAAAGTCCGTACGGATAGTTGAAAAGAAGTATGGGGAGCACGTGGCTCGTGCATCTGGAGTCAAGAAGCTGCTCGGATTAGCCCTGAGCTGGCGGAGGTGGCCGACAACCTCCTGTATCTTGAGGACAAAGCAGAGTTTCTTGATGCTTCGCGCGAAACTCCCACCCAAGATTGGCAACGTATGCTTCTCAGGAGCTAATCTGGTTCTGCAAGAAGACGGCGGGAATGCCGCGGGCGCCGTGTAACCGTCTCGAGGTTTCCTGATCAAACCCCGTAAGACCTCCTGGACGAGCCGTAGTAGCGGTGCCGGATGTTGCACTCCGGGCACTGGAAATTGTCCAAGTAAGGGCCATTTCATATTAACAAGACTTCGTATTCCCTCAGGCTTCGGGATACATGGATGTGCTTGTCGGAAGTGACTGTGAAGGTTTCGACCCAAATCTAGCCCATGGAACGTGCGCCGACTATCGTCTTGGTAATTGGAAGATGGAATCCGCGGCTGCTTGGGGTTTGAAGAGATGGAAAGCTTCCATTGCATTTGCCGTCCTCCTGGCTCCGCTTACGCATAATAGCTATCGGATATTGGAGGTTTCGGGCAGTTATCTTGGAGCACGTCGCCCCCATCCTTGACGTGAGGTCATATTGGTGTGGCAGGTCGGCTTTTCGTTGGAAGGATTTAAACGCGCGTTCTGGGAACGTTCCATCGAAAAGACGGGATGCATGGATTAGCGAGCCGGCACGGATCTCATCTCCTTCCTTCTTTTTCTTTTTGAGCGGGGAGATTCGGTGGAGTTCGGTATCTCGCAGCGTTGCAGTAAGGCGCAAATACAGTGTTGGCGAAAGACACATGTCTCTGCATACAATCGCATGCTGCAGTCATACCGAAAGTTGTCGGCATAATTAGCCCCCCTGCCAAAAGTCCATATCCGTAGGGTACTCGAGTCATCGTTTGCGGGGCATCCGAAGGTTAGCGGCATGCAAAAGACAAGCAGCGCACTGGAGCCAGAACATCACGTAATGGTTTGTGATGTCGTTGTGAGTCTAGGTCGCACCGAGGCTATGGTTCCTTTCCCGCAATATGTTCGGCTAGAGGCTGATTGACAAGAAAGAAAGCTGCGGCATTGAGCCCCTGAGGAGCGGGCCGTCCGCAAATCTTCTCGAAGCCGGGTTTCACGATGGGGCTAGTTCTCCCATCTTGGCTCCAATGGCTCCAAGATTAGCTCGAGGTCCCAACGCATGGGGATGACATCTTCCTCGGCCGTTGGCCGCATCAACCTAGCGGAGAGACCGGCAGCGATGTCGGCAGCAATAGCGGTAGGGTTGTCGTGCATACGCGGGGGAACCACCACTTCATGAATCAAGTCGTGATGATTTTGTTCGATGGACGACACATGTGCGACAGATGTGCAAAGGGGTGGGTATCGATTTTAGAGAGGTCCAATTACCTGGCCGGTAATAGGAAACATCTTTTCCCGCCATCTTCGGGGCCGATTAGTCGAACGCCAGTCCGTCAGCCCGGCAGCCGATTAGCTTTTCGGCGAATTACAAGAAGCTTCTTATTGACGTTCCGGTGGCATACCACAGTAGTCCTGGACGCGTGGGAATAAGAAGGAGTAAGCAGATGTTGGCGAGTCATTGGACTCAGTCTAGCCGCCTGTGAGGTTTCTAGTGGTCTGGCGAGATGGGACGGACAGAACGACAACACAGAAGGTTTTCCAAGTGTCCCCACCATTATCGAATGGCGCACCGAGAGCCGAGAGGTTTGGTCGTAAGACGCGAATGAGGTAACATTCGGGGAAAACTCCGGCGTCTGTCAACTGCCGTATGGCGAGGAGCCCGGATCTGTCATCTGTGTTTCGAGTATGCATGTCGCCAGCATCTACTACAATTAGTTAGTAATCTTCGGGCCGCGGGCAACTAGAGAGTTTCAGTAACGGGCTTTGAATCTGAAGGTTCGACGACGTCCCATCCGAGGCCTTCGCTCGCCGTCTCCAGGAAATAAGTTGTCATCCAATGTTGTGGTCCAAGTCATCTAACAAGAGGTAGTTGTAATTCGAGAGCAAGTGTATACGTGCGTAGCAAGGCAGTGAAGTTGGAATATCGGATCGGCGATGTGCAGTAGGATGGATGGAGTGGAACGGTGGGAGGCTGTGGAGTCGTGGAGGAAGATCCCAGCAGGTGGAGAATGGCATCTGTGCTCGCTGCCCGCTGCCCAGGGAAGAGCTTGATGCGCACATCACCCTCCCATTTCACGTAACAGCCTCTCAAAGGTGTGGTCGGTCCATACCATGGACATTATTCACAGTCAATTACAAGCTCCAGCTTTATCACCTAAGATTAAGCTCTTGTATTACTATGGTGTCATTCCTTTTCATGTACAAGCACGCCAAAGATATCTATGTACCGGACCCCAGTTTTGCTCTCGAAATCAACTGCAAATGCCATAACCGGGTTGGCACCCAGCACCACAGTAGAGATCCGAATTACCACACCATCCATTCTTGCTGCAGCATTGGTAGTCACCGTTGCCTCGGCAAGTAGCTATTCCTGCACCACACGCACCGTCTCTTGCGACCGGCAGCCCTGAGCTCCCACCGCTGCCTGAGCTACCGCCGGAACTACCACCGGAGCTGCCACCAGAGCTGCCTCCTGAATTGCCTCCTGAACTGCCTCCGGAGCTGCCTCCGGAGCTGCTTCCCGCGCTACATGTGCCAAAGCCCGGCTGGCAACCCGTTCCGCAGTAAGCACTTGTCGTCCCGCAATATCCATATGCACTGCAGCAGTATCCGCTACCGCAAGATCCAACACCGGGACCGCAAGAACCAGGCTCGCCGGGATTGGGCTGTGTCGGTGTTGTCGATGTCGTCGGTTGGATAGAAGATGCTGTCGTTGTTGATGGTGCCTACTTGTTTGTCAGCGGGGTGATACTCTGTCTGGAATTCGTTCACCTACTTGGCAGCTCGCGAGTCGCGTGTCTGCTGCAGCTCCCTGCAGCCAAATTTTCATGGTGGCCTGGAAAGATTTGCCGTTATAGGGGTTGCCGTCACCGCGAGTTGCCTCCCAAACAGCCACGCCTCCGAAAGATGGCCGGCAATAGTACGCGCTGATGAGATTATTTGCCTGCTGATGGGTGATATAGTTCCCAGCATTGGCGGCATCTGAAGAACCAGGTAGGGTGATGAACACCTTTGCGTCTCTGCTTGGGGTGTTCGATAGCCATTGAACCCAGGCATCGAACGTGAACCCGGCTTGCTGATACGTTGAACCAGGGGTGTAGGATGGGTTGCTAGCTGCCCAAGTCGCAGCTGAGCAACTAGGGGTGTTGTAAAATTGGACAAAGATCATGTCGAACTTGGCGGCGGAGATCATCGCAGCCATGTTGGCATCTGGAACGACGCATTGAGGAGCGCCAGTCAGGTAGTATTGCTTCGAAGCTGTGGCATAGAATGTACGCAGAAGGGTCACTAGGGCAATGTAGCCTTCCGAATTGTCTGCAGGTAGCTAAGCATCAGCTGCCATTCATGGAACGCATCGACCAGGGGACGGCGAAGATGTTAACACACCTGTGGATGGATGCTCTATATCCATATCGAATCCGTCAACCTCAACCGCTTGCCCGTTGTAATCGAATGGACGAGGCCCTGTCCAGTTGGGATCTTTCGGTCCGAACATGTACCACAAGTAAGTTGCCAGGAGTTCACCCTCGTTTCTGCCTGTAAGCTGGTATGATACCACGCCACCTCCGAGTGACAGCAATATCTTCTTGCCATACTGCTGCTGGCATACTGGAATCTGAGCGTTGAGACTAGGGCAATTTGACTGCAACTGATCTTTGGAAGGGTCGATGACACCGTTGAAGCCAGGACCTGGGTAAACTTGGCCGCCGCATCGATTGCCAAAGTTTGTTCCAGGGTATCCGTTTGCCTGGGCTGGGAAAAGATGCACGAACGAGAGGACAATTACATCAATCTCGGGCTGCTGGCATTGGTTTATTAGGTCGCCCTGATTCGGACCTTGCCCCTGTTACATTGTCAGTCCCAGAGTCACGAAGACGATTTGAAAATGAGTCTTCTTACGTAATAGACAACAACATTGTTTTTCGAAGTTGGGTCGAAAGCTGCAGAACACCATGAGACTGCTATGCTCAACAAGACGAACATCCTGAGCAGCGCCATTGCAGCAAAGTGGTATATGGGGAATCAAGGGCAGACAAGCGAAAGAAAGAGACAGAAGAGGACGACAGGTTTCTGACAGCCAATATTGGCTTGAACACAGGAGTCCTCGTGATGCTGGAGGCAATGCGGACTTCAGTAACGATGACGTCGGCGCCCAAGTCTAGGAAACTGGGAAGGCGGGTGCAGTTGCTGGCTGCTTCTCCATGATGAACGCTTTTCGAGGGTAGTTCTTTCTCTAAATAACATCTAGAAAGTAAAGGGACAATCGCACCTCCCGCAAGTTACATCTTCCATCTTCCAAGAGCCAGGCGCGGACCCCCTCCATCACGGCTCCTCCTTCTCTCCTGCGGTCCTGCCGTGGGCGGAAAGTGTCCAGAAAAGAAATGCGGCGGGAATAGTCCTCCCTCCCCGCTGGGCGTTATTGCGATGCAGAATTCCGCGCCAGAGTCCGATGGCGTCGTCAATCCAACTTTCCCCGTCACGTTCCCTCTTTTCTGCAAGGGCGACCGCTACCCCTTGACTCATCCTGCCACCAAAGCCGATAAAGGGCAAGATCGCGTGAAGAGGGGGTTGGAGCCATCCTCTACGCGACGCGTCAGAAATGTGTGGGATCTACTGGGTTGACTATCGAGGTTGATTTCAGCGTCATTTTGAATGGTTCGAAGACCATCACTCCTCTGCTTCGTGTAACCCCGCGATCGAGCCTTTCCGGACGGCCGAAACATTCGGGGCTTTCGGTGGGGCCGTGCCGCCGAGACCGCCGAATGCCCCACCGAAACCGCCGACCGAGACCTGAAGACTCCGTCGCACACTTGTTGCTGCCTGCCTTTATCCAAACTTAAAAGAACCTCGATTCGTGATGATTTCATCTTAGACACCATCGACTTCAGAACGACGAATTTCAAATATGGTCCTCCTCCCTCAGACGATGCGCTCTCTCGTCGCGCCGAAGCACGGCAGCCCTGTCGGCTGGGAAGTAGCTGAAGTGCCGGTGCCGACCATTACCAGCCCCACGGACGTGATAATTCGAGTAAAGGCTGGAGCTGTCATGAAGGGCGACTGCCAGAGATCTCAGGGTTCTCCGATCGTTGCGCTACGCAAAGAAAGGTACGTTGAGTACTGGCCCATGGGCCAAAACCTCATCTGTAGGGCTAACAACTTGTTGTCTTCAGTTTTCCCATCAAGATTGGCTGCGAGGGCTCCGGGATCGTCGTAGCTGTCGGCGCGGACGTAAAAACCCTCAAAGTAGGCGACGCAGTCTACGGGCTGTGCTTCACGCGGCCAGCCTTCAGCATCCCCGACCCAGGCTTCTGCTCCGAGTACGCCGTTGGGCCGGAGAGACTTTTCCTGCCCAAGCCGCCGCATATGAGCTTCGAAGAGGCTGCATCTCTTTTGGGATACACCGTCACGGCGTACCAGACCATTAGACGCGGACTCGCCATCACAGGACAGGAAACGCTGGAAGGCAAGACCGTCTTCATTCCCGGAGCCCTGAGCGGTGGAGGCTTCAGCGCGATCCAAGTTGCCAAAAACGTCTTTGGCGCCAGGAAGATTATTTCCACGGTTTCGACTCCTAAGATGAGCCTCGTTGAGCAGCATCTTCCGGGGATGGTTGATGAACTGATTGATTACACCACTACGGATGTCGGCTCTGTGATACCCAAAGGAAGCGTG